TGTTTAAAAGGGATGTTTTTTAATTGGGGAGAGAGGTTTGACTAAATTATATTCCTATTTTATATAATGATAAATGAGTAGTTTGAAACTATCTACATACATTATATGCTCTGTTCATAGTTACAGTTCCTTAATCAACCAATTGGTAACCAACATATTAATCAAATAAAGCTGTCTGGGTAAATTGATCAGTACATGAGTACATCTGGATATTTTTATAGTACTGTATAATTTCCAAACTCTTTTTATAACATTTTTAAATTTCACGATAACACAATTGGTATGATAGAGGAATTATTAGTATCTCATATTTATAGATGTTGACAGAGACAGAGAGATCAGGAAAATTGCCACAGATCACTCTAAAGCTCAGACCCACAGAAATGTTCTTTTTCTTCATACCATTCAACCCTGGTTCTATGCATTCTACACCAGAACATCCTGAGCCACAGCACAAGAGTAATGCATATTTTTGAAAGAAAGAAAGAAAGAAAGTGAAGCCACTCAGTCATGTCTGACTCTTTGCAACCCCATGGACTGTAGCCTACCAGGCTCCCCTGTCCATAGGATTTTCCAGGCAAGGACACTGCAGTGGGTTTCCATTTCCTTCTCCAGGAGATCTTCCTGACCCAGGGATTGAATCCGGGTCTCCCACATTGTAGGCAGACGCTTTACCATCTGAGCCACCAGGGAAGAGTCTTTTTGAAGCAAACTTTTTTTTTAATGGTAGTGAAATAAATAATTTTGTTCAAATCAAAATGGCTTCCCCAGTGGCTCAAAAGGTAAAGAATCTGTCTGCAATGCAGGAGACCAGGGTTCGATCCCCAGATCGAGAAGATCCCTTGGAGAAGGAAATGGCAACCTACTCCAGTATTCTTGCCTGGAGAATTCCATGGACAGAGGAGCTTGGCGGACTATAGTCCATGGCGTCACAAATAGTCGGACACGACTGAGCGACTAACACTTTCATATCAAAATAAACATCATTATGTTATGAAGTGAAATTCTCTATTTTAATTTTTAAAACAAAACAGATTTACTGAAGTTTTTGTTAATGGGAGACTATTGTGGACAAACTCCATTTGTGGTACTCATAGACCCTTCTATGCCTTTAGGAAGTTTCAGTAGAAAAGTTTATAAAACTCTGTGACATAATGCTGTCACCTTGCTGTAAAGCAACACTGGTCCTACCTGGAGAAGTGATTTCTGTATGCAAGTGATCATCCATCTAATAGAAAATGCTTATAAAATACAGTTTACTGCAAGCACTTGCTTCATTCACAGCTAATTAATCCATCAGAGAGAGCCTCCGGTAGTAATTACTTTCAATCCTCTCCAATCAACCTGCACCAGATTTACACCCCTGACCCTGAGAGAAGACTCTAAACTCAAAACTCTGGGTGTGATTTTTATAATATCTCTTGGCATGTTCAAAATAGGGATAACCAATTAATGAAGGATATTCTTTTATTTTTAATCTAGCACTAGAAAACACAAATTTGGGTTATGTTGCTAAAGGGGTTGCATTTAATTATGTTGAAAACTCTCTTACTTTAATTCTCACAATGAACCAATTTCATCCTTCTGAAGTGAATATTATTTATTTGTTGGATTCTGAGACCCTGTTTCTGAAAAAGGATGGTTTCAAATGGCCAATTCTGGACTTGTGGACACAGTGGGGGAGGGAGTAAGTGGAACAAATGGAGAAAGTAGCATCAACATATATACACTATCATGTGTAAGATGGATAGCTGGTGAGAAGTTGCCGTGTAGCACAGGGAGCCAAGTCTGGTACCTTGCGGTGACCTGGAGGGATGGGATGAGGGGAGGGGAGGGGGGCTCCAGAGGGAGAGGATGTATGTATAATTATGGCTCATTCGCGTTGTTGTATGGCAGAAACCAACATGACACTGTAAAAATTTAAAAAAATTTAAAAAGGCCAATTCTACATGAAAATTTTGATTCTGGGGATATTTTGATATGACTGAGTATAAACAGCTATGGTAAATTACAAAAATATTTTTTTCTAATTATCAAGGGATACAGACATTGCATATCCTTGGCTTTCATCTCATCCCTGAGATTTGTGACATTTTTGAGGGTTATGGATGAGTTAAGAATGCAAGTGATGAGTATAAGTTGCTTGTGCTGTGCTGTGCTTAGTCGCTCAGTCATGTCCATCTCTTTACAACCCCATGGACTCCAACCTGCCAAGCTCCTCTGTCCATGCGGTTTCTCCAGGCAAGAACACTGGAGTGGGTTGCAATGCCCTCCTCCAGGAAAAATTACTTGTATGTAAAAAAAGAAAAAGAGAGAGAGACATATTTGATGGGGCTCTTTTGACTCAACTGCACTAAAATTTTCCCAATATCTAATATTCTTTTTGCAGAATGTGGATTCAGCTCGGCTGGGCCATAGGTCCCTTAGCTGCCTCCAATAGCTGCCTCCCTCTCAGCAGCTTCCCCTCCAACTCTAGAAACTCCAAGATTTTCAGATTCACTAGGTCTTCAAGGAGAGTGGGACAATTATTTGCATTTCTTGCAACATTCTGAATGATCCTAATGCTGCACACTGACCCATCAAGGACAACGATCCTCAAACTAGACATTGCCTCCAACCTCAGTCCATGGGCTCTAGGAAGTCCTTAAAGATGCAAGATCTCACTGTTGAGGGTATATAAACATCTTACAGTGGAAATTATATTGAGCTTCTCTTCTTTAGTTCATCAAAAGCCTCTGTCAGTACTTGACTATGCACTATGAAGGAACGTTCTAAAAAAATTCTGTCCCTGGATCTCTGCATAGAAGATGGTGTACATCAGTCTTGACTGGAAGGCAAGACCTCACTGTACAGATCTGCCTTGTGGTTTTCCTTAGAAATCCTCACTCCATTCTTCTGCCCCAGATGTGACACCAGCCTAGTGGTCATTCCGCTCTAAAAATGCCCCTTCCCCACAAGCCACTCTGGGATTAAGATGCATGTACCTGTTGTAAATTTTCATCCACATAGAATCCTGCTTCTTTTGAGGTGTTACTGACACTCCTGTTTCCTCTCTGTATAGTATTCCCAATGTCAGATTCCCTTCTCTATCTTTAACAGTATTGAGAGGCAGTGATGTAAGGTGGTTAAGATCCTACTTAAAATGCTTAAAGTGTGTGCATGCTCAGTCATTTCAGTCCTGTCTGACTCTTTGTGACCCTATGGACTGTAGCTTGGCAGTCTCCTCTGTCCATGGAATGGAATTCTCTAAGAAAGAATACTGGAATGGGCTGCTATACCCTTCTCCAGGGGATCTTCCTGACCCAGAGATCAAACCAGGGTCTCCTGCATTGACAGATGGACTCCTTACAACTGAGCCACCTGGGGAGCCCACAATACTTAAGTGCCTAGTTCCAAACCTTATTTTATCATTTACTAATTGAGTTAGGTTGGGCATGTTATTGAACCTCTGTGTCTCAGTTTGTTACATGTAAAATATGAATGAGAATAACACCTTGTCTCATACAGTGGTTAGGAGTTGTGAGGATTAAATTAGTTAGAGTTTGCAAATGGTTGTGTGCAATGCCTGCCAAATGTATGGCAAGTACACTGTTTGTTGGATAAACTATAACTTACTACTTATTTCCTCCTAAACCTTAAATACTTACCCAACAATATTTCAGAAAATGCAATTTTATCCTGTGTTCCTTAGAAATTAATTTGTTCATATTTTATTGATTTTTTAAAGCAGGCTAGCTTCTGCCACTAAGCTCTCCACCTTCTCAAGGTTGCCTTCAATCTTTTACCCTCAAATCTAAAGGCTTCTTATGTGTACTCACTTTCCATCTGTGCATTTTCAACACTAGGAAACAATCCATCTTTATGAATTTCGCCATGATTTGGATTTATCTTTTCTTTTTAAAGTGTACAATATTCCCATTGTTTAAATCATATTTTTCTTCCTCATTACAAAGGTAGCCTGTGCCAAACACCAAAGAAACAAATCTGAAAAGCAGAAATAAAGATCAAACCTGCATCTCTTCTGTCTCCTGCATCATCAGGTGGGTTCTTTTCTTTACCACTAGTGCCACCTGGTAAGCCTGTGGGGAAATGAAATCAACAAATTAAAAGTCATACAATTAACTGGGCATACTCAAAAGAAAATTGCATGACCATGTTTTATGCTGGAGTATGGGCTCACCACTCCAGATCCACTGTAACGGCCACATTGAAGTACCTATTCTCTCTAAAGAGTGCTCTTCTGAAAAGATGCTCTGAGAACTATGCTCTTCTCAGTCTTGTTATTTTCCCAGATATACTGACACCTATGGAGCTTCCTGGCTAGTTGGCCCCTTCGTTTGGCTCAGACATATTTTAGTCATTTTATAAAATGGTACCTTGTTGGAGCGTTTTCAACAAATATTGTCTTAATAGAAGAATGTTAATGGATGAGCAGTAGTCTGTGGGACTAAAGTGTCACAATTTATTTAAAGAATCCCATAATGTTGGCATTTCTATTTTTCCATATCTTGATAATATTCACAAATATATTGTGCTACTTATATACCTCTGCCCAGAAATATTTACATTTAGAATGGGTTATTTCCTTGGGAGGAATTATTAGAAGGAAACTTGAAAGTTCAGATACTATTTTAGGCATTGCATGCACAGTCCCTTCCAAAAAAACACTGTCAATTAGTGTATCTTGCAGATATGAACTTTAAAACAGGAAAATATTTGACAGAAGAATGTTCCTAGGAAATGGAACCTGAGATCATCAAGAAAGTACATGTTTGGTGTATTCCAGGAGGGATAAGGTAGACAGTGTGGCTGGAAATGAGTGAAAGGTAAGTGGTAGGAAATAAAGTCATAGAAGTAGCGAGGGACCAAATGGGGTGGTGGCCTCACAGGACATTGGAAGAACCTTGGCTTTGTCTCTGAATGATATGGAGAGTCAATGGAATGTTTTGAGCAGAAAAGAGATAGGATGCAACTGATTTAACAATTACTCTGGAGACTTGGTGGCGTCCTGTGCTCGCTGAGACGGCACCTCGAGAACTATGGTGGAAGGAGATAATCGCAGCACCAATCTGCTGGCTGGAGAGACTGCAAGTCTGGAAGAGCAGCTGCAAAGATGGGGAGAAGTGATGCTGATGGCAGATAAAGTCCTCCGATGGGAAAGAGCCTGGTTTCCACCTGCCATCATGGGTGTGGTTTCTTTGGTGTTTCTGACTATCTACTATCTACATCCATCTGTTCTATCTGGTGTTTCCTGTTTTGTTATGTTTTTGTGCTTGGCTGGCTACCTTGTTCCCATTCTAGCACCTAGAATTTTTGGCTCCAATAAATGGACCACTGAGCAACAGCAAAGATTCCATGAAATTTGCAGCAATCTAGTAAAAACACGACGCAGAGCTGTGGGCTGGTGGAAACGCCTCTTTACACTAAAGGAAGAAAAGCCTAAAATGTACTTCATGACCATGATCGTTTCTCTTGCTGCGGTTGCTTGGGTCGGACAGCAGGTCCACAACCTCCTTCTCACCTACCTGATAGTGACTTTCTTACTTTTGCTTCCTGGACTGAACCAACATGGAATCATTTCGAAATACGTTGGAATGGCCAAAAGAGAGATAAACAAGCTTCTGAAACAAAAAGAAAAGAAAAATGAATAAAGCATTTGCTTTATTCAGTGTGATTAATGGAGTGTACATTGTCCGTGGGAACAGTGTCTG